AATATACTACCGTATTATGATAGAAATGTTATTTTTAGGTAATATGCATGTGTGCCTCCTTCTTGGTTTTATCTTTGCTTACTTTAAAGCTGTGTGTGTCTCTGCTCTGCCCTTTGCAACATTTATTTGTTCTCTGCTCTGAATCCCCCTGCCCCTCTGCCAGCCTCTTGTCTCTTCTTTGTGTTTTCACTCTCAGGTGCATTGTGGTTCTGGGGAGTTTTTGGTTTGGTTTGGTTTGGTTTTTTTAATAGGTCACATTCCTCCCCCCTCCCTGATACTGTTTTGAGGCTTTCTAGTAAGAAGTTCTTAAATAGTTAAGAAATTTAAACAGAAGATGTAGATAACTGTTGTTTTAGTTGCTTTGACTCAATTTCCAGCTTTCTGAAGTTGCCCATTTAAAGTGCAAATTGCTATGTATGAAGCTGATTATTTATTATATATAAATGCTGATGAATCGGCTGTCTCATTTTCTATGGCAGTTGGTCTACAATATCTACTATACTTAACTACTGCTCTGGCTAGTACTTATTTAGTCTATTGAGATCTGTGTTACAAACTGATATTCACAGATTAAGTTGATACTCACAGATTGGGGCTGAAGGGTTGATACCTATGTATGTGTGTTTTTAAAAATTATGTTTTTATTTTCCATCTTTAGGGCCCTTAATCTGTTGATTTTTTTTTGTTTGGTTTGTTTTTTTTCTTTGTTTTTTAGTTTTTTTAGCAATCTGTGTGATAGTAAAGACAGATTGTAGCCTTTCGCTTCTTTACTACCCTCAAAATCATTTGACTTGTAGTTAGTACACAAGCTTTACTGCTTGGACTGAGTACGAGTGTAGGGCTGAATTAGGGAGTGAGTATTAAAGAATATGTTTGAGCTGTGCTGTCACAGGAAAAAGCATTATTTGAAATGCTGGGCTCTGTGTCGATGGCACTCCAGAAATGCCTCCTATCTCCTCCTGAAGTTCCCATTTTCCTGTTTCAAAGGGGAGATTGTGGTTTTCAATTTCTCAAGGGGGAGTTTGTGGTTTTGGCTAATCCAGACTGCTAGAGATCAGCCAGGGAAGTCCTCTCTTGGACTATCACTTCTGCAATGGTGTTATCTCAAGGAGCCTGGGAGTTACTTAATCATTACATATGCACTCAGTTTTAAGGCAAAAGATGATACAAGGATCTAACTGGATTTTTTTTATTTTCAAAGCTTTAAGTTAAATTGTGGTCTTAAGATGTTAACCAACAGACTATAATTACAGTTTAAATTTAGACTTAAGTATTTGGTTACATAAGGGAGGATGAAAATGCCAGAAAAGATGAAAATAAAACTGTTTAGGTATGGAGACAAAACTAGTGAAATTTGACCATGCTGAAAATGGCAGAGTCAACTTTGGTTTTTCTCTTTTTTTCCCCAGTACTAATTTCTGTGCTTGTTACTCTTAGGATAAAAATGGCACATTCATATTCTGCTTTTTGTCAGAGGACATTTTAGAGAATAATGTTTCTTAAATATTGCTTTACTTTCAGAGTTAACAGTTGTGAGATAGTAAGAAGTGTGTAACAGTCTCTGCATTTAAAAAGTTATTCCATCCTTGCTTCAGTGCTAAGGGTTTTCTTTGTCCTGTCTGGGATTTTTTTTTTATTTGCTAGTTCTTCACTTGCTGGAGAGCTTTCTGAAATAGAGAAGATGTTTTTCACCTTGGAAATGTTGGATTTTTAAGCAAATTGATTTTTTTTTTTATTTTCTAAATTCTTACACTAGCACCTAGAAGACATTTTCCTTGTATAGGTCACCAGTAACATTACAAGGGTTAAATGTTGCGTTAATTATGAGGACTGTGTCTAAGAGAAAGCTCTAAAATAGTGGCATCTTCATCCCTTTTCCTCTCTTCTAATTCTGTTATTCCTGCAACTTTTCCACTGACCCTGCTCTTCAGCTGCTATGAACTGTCAGACACTGAAATACAGGTGATGAAAATACAGAAACCGGAATTTAGCAGAGGCAGCCACGTTAATTTCTGTTCCATTTGAAATGCAGGAAAATATCATCTGCCAAATGGAAAAGGACAATCGTTGGGAAAAGAAATGTTCTTTTCAAGCTTCTAAGAGCAGTGACAATGGAGAGAAAAAATACTATAAAAAGTAGGCAGCTCCTTCTTCAAGATTTTGTTTTCAATGTATTATGCATGATTAACTGTATGCAGTTGCTCTCTTGGAGTCCTGAATGACTGAATATTACATCGTAGGGCTTACACTGTCTTTACTGCATTGCACTTTGCATTTCGGGGGGAATAGGGCTCAGCTTCATGGCAGGTTTTCCAGTCTTTAGTATAATTTTTGAATACATTCATACTTCCCTTATTTGCCTTTTTTAATGTCAAGCGTTGCACATAAGATGTTCTGCTGTTGCTATGCAACTGCTAAATCCAATATTTAATATTAATAAAACCGAGTGGCATTAGCATCACTGAGAACAGTGGGCTAGCAAACTATGATTGTACAATATCCAAGCTGTAAAACTTGGCAGGGACTTCAGTGTGCAATTGCATGGATGGCAAACTGTGGGGCATGAGTCATTGGCAGTTACTATTTTAAGAGTGGTGAGTTTGAGTAAAATTTCTGAGCTCTTCTGATTTTTATTTATATATATAATTTTTTTAAACACACAGATAAAGAATGAGGTTAATTAGCTGTTTTCCTTAAGGTTTTGTTTCAGGTGCAAACTCTGAGGGGTCAGTACCCAGAAAAGAGTCAGCATTATAAACCTGTGGGTCAATACCCTGATTCTCCTATTTTTCTTCTAGGTCAGGTTGGTCGGCCCTTTTCCACTGTTCCTGCCATTTCCTGAAGCCTGAATTGGCTTTTTTTGGAGGCAGTGCTACTTCTCTGCCTGACAAGGTGCTGTTCAATGGGATGTTTCTCCAGTTTCTCCACTCCCACCTTGTTTTCTGATCTCTCCCCTATTTCTCTTTACTCTTGGCTGTTATTTCACCTTTTTTGTTTGATTGTTTTGTTCTTCACTCAGTGCTTTCTGAGATTAGATTTTTAGTATCGGTCTGTGACAGACATCAGATCAAGGGCCATGGTGTGCCCTGGCAATGCTGTGGCCGT